AATGTTATGAGTTGAATCGTGCGATATCAGAATCATACTAATTAATTGGAGCAAAATTATAAACGTTATTCTTCCAAAAAGATGTATATATACGTAACCATAAATTTACATTAATTAATATCCGTCCGAGTAAATTAAAATTATCCGCTTTGGAAATATTGAAACGCAAATTGCTTTACTAAGAAGATTATATTTTAATCGATTATGTATAATCAATAAGATATGATTCTCTCTCTCTCTCTTTCTTTCTTTCTTCGTACAAGTGCATAGATTTCAACCATACTTTCTACCGTAAAATTGTAATCATAACATTCGCTGAAAGCAATTTAAGTTTCGAAGAAAAGCAAAAGGATGGAAAGGACGAAAGAGACCTACTGTGTCCAATTAGACAATTCTTTTTCTCAGGTATGTACATTGATGGTTGGTAGTTTAATCAACGAGTCCTCTGCCCGCGGAGGTATAATTAATTTCTACGATTTCTCGCAATATTTGCACGCCTTTGGCGTTTATTCAAGACGTATAAAGACGTGCAAGGACGAAATCCCGAATGGTCGAGAGGAAAGTAGTTGAAATGGTGGACATATTCAGCATCGCCGTCGGGTGGAAATTGCTTTTCCTACTCGCTGTACCTACAACAATTCGTGCCCGCGCGTATATATATATATGCGTCACGCGCACACATAAACGCCCGGGGCCCTGATATTTTCAGTATACGCGATATCGCCCGGCGCGCAAATAGAATCCGCAAATTCTTTCCTTCTCTTTTCGTCGCCCGCTGGGTATATGTACATGTCGCCTCTGCTCGTTTCTTCGACCCCCTTTTATTTCTCTCCGTGATTGTATTTTCTTATGAGAAAATGCGTCCCTTCGCCCTATCGCGTCATCCGTACGCGTAGTTCGTCTACTGTGCGCGCTTTTGTAAATAGGCTTTCATCGCGTCGTTTATAATTATAAATATCTTCTTTTCATTTCTCTTAATGATACGCGAATGCATAATTTTCCGACTTTCAACAATACATTTGAATTTTGACATTTTTAATTTTAAAGATTATAAAAAGCTATGTATAAAGAAGTGAGTAAAAAAGAAATGAAAAGAAGATGAAAAATTGTTATTTTCTGAATACATAGTAGATGAATAGGTGTATTTGCTTTTATATTGTGCAAACGTCCGTGTCATACATTATGCACCACAAAAATTGGTTTATATTATACAGGAAGAAAAATAAAAAGATATACTTTATATGTATATCTCTGTCTAGAGGTTTTCAAAAAACATTGTAGGCTAGATAATTAAAATTTAGACAATAAAATTTGCAAACACTTAAATCTCCGCGATTCTTTCTCTTGTCGGTCATCGTCACATAATCTTTTTTTTCTTTCCATTCACTCTACTATCTCTGGTTTCCCATCCTTGGCGCAGCGACGAAAATCTCTCTTGGTAAATTGAATGGCTTTGCGAGTAGGATGGAAGCACCTAATAAGGTCATGCCGGCTTATTGAAAGTTGGATTTCTGCACGTCTCCTCAATGTGAGGACCAGACTGAAGCTAACAACGAAAGATCCCTACGCGAAAGAAGTCAGAAATCACATTTAGCGGTAGAAGAGTTTATTAAGTCAATAAAGTGCAGAAAAAATGCAACGTCGAAAGTTTAAATGCGCCAGTTACTTTCGATTATTAATCGATTAACTTTTCTCATTTTAAATTATGAACATCAAATATCATTGATATAAGAGATATTCAGAAGTTTTTGAATTAGCTTTAAAAATCTGCTGTCTCTAGAAAGAGATATAATATCGTTTAATTTTGTTGTAATAATTTTTAAAAATTGCAAAATACAATTGTAGATTTTTGATCTTCATTTAATTTGCCGGTTTTTTATTCAGAGAAAAATTTCTCTGTTCCAATTTGATACGCGTCGAAGTTTTTAGACATCATAGTTTTTTATAATTCTGGAATATCGTAAATTTTTCAAATACTTTCTTCATTTTTAGTTTTGCATATAACAAAAATATATTTTCGAAAAGATGCACGTATACTTATAAGACATCATCTGCGTGAACTCAATTTTGCTCTTTTTATGTTTATCGCATAAAGAAATTTATGATCGACATTACCATAAAGAAACCGAGCCAGAAACGGATTACGCTGCGCTGTTCTTATATCTATTCATGTTTTCTCATCAATAACTGTATTCAATGCGTGATGGCCGCGATGTAGTTGGAATCATAATAAGATTTTTATAGGTTTCCCGTAGATAAAAGATGACGACAGTCCACAAGACATTCCCGGAATTGCAGACGATTCATTGGCATTTGACTATTCCAAAAAGAAATAAATTTTGATGCGTATTTTATTAAAATTATTCTTAATACAGTTTTAGGTACACAAAACATATTATTATACATATTTATAATAACATTTTATAATTTGATGTACAAAATTAAATATAATTTCATGCAATCTTTATAACATTTTATATATTAATTTTCTACATATCTCTGATAAAGCATATTAATTTTTTTTTATTAAAATAACACGGTAATTTTTATAATATGTAGTAAAATTGAAAATTATTTGGGTCATATATAATAATAGTGGCAAATAGATGCTTCGCTTCTTTCTCCACAAATGCAAACTGTGTCAGCATAAAATTTTTATATAATTTTTATCCTATCATCATATTATACGGCGGTCGGCGGATGTGAAACCTGCGCATAATGCAAACTTTATTTGAACTGAAATTGCACGAATCTCGCGCCTATTCTTAATGCGGTCGCGTCAGGAATGGAAACGTTTCTCTTTCCCGTAGCAAAGCATCGCTATTGTTCGGCGCATGAAACGCAAACAGCGATTAGAGATCCGCTCTGACGTCAATGGCACCGCAAAGTGGCTGCTGCAACTAAAGCAACATCCACTCTGAAACGATCGTATACGTTGATAGCGTTGTGTCGCGCGATAACAGCACCCCCGTTGTGCAAATGTCGATCGATAGGGGCACGCACGTACCTACATGGTGCATGCATCTCGTCCGGTAGTGCGGGAAACGACGAATTACAAACATAAAAACAATAAAAGTAGGAAAAACGTTGGATACGGTCAGCCTGTATACACACCGAAAGATAAATTAATCCTTCGAGATTGAACATGCACATGTTTGCTTTATTTATCTGTTTGTTTAATTAAGTTCCGTGTCACTGATCGTGAAGCCCGGCGATACATTTTCGTTATAAAATGGCGTAGGATTTGTAGAATTAAGCCAGGAGGGAATGCTGCCAGTTTCCCGTGAAATATATGGCTTGTATTACGGTTCTTCTAACTTATCCCTTTAGACAAATATTATTCGAAATAATGCATCGTAGTACGAAGTTGATCGATTTAGATAAAGTACGAAATCGTGAGGAAGTTGCAATAGCAAGGGAGCTTGCAATATCAAATTTTACGAATCGTACAATAACGGTTGATCTGCGTTCGGAAAGAAGAAGAGACTTAACTTGATACCTTGGGAATGTTTTTCTCTGATATCACGTTAGACTGAATCTGATTTTTCAAAATTGATGAAAATATTTCCATATATAAACTTTAAAAGAAATACGAGATATATTGCTTTTTTTGATTGTGTAAAAATCCAATTTTAGACAATTTTAGAAATATGCTTTTTTGTTATTATACTTAAAACTTTGATATTACCGCTATTGATTAAAGGTTAAAGTTGGTTGCTGCTACAGCTGCTTGTTAAATTCTATATAACCAAAGTTGAATTCATCTAAATTTCAAAGTATACTCAAACTTGATTTCATAATATTATTATTAGTCCGATTGAACTTTAAGAATATTCTACAACGCGAAGACGAATGTTTTACAGTAGAATCGTATAATATTGAATAATGAACGCGGCAATATCGTACATCTTGTCCCGTAGGAATACTTTAATAAGATTTGTAAAACTGCGAATTTACTTTTATTTATTTCACAAAATTAAATATCGATTACGGTAAATCGTGCTTTTTCCACTCTTGCCGTTCGCGAGATTTATCTAACGGTGACGTCTCTATGTTGCGCTTATTAGTTGCTAAACCGTGAGTACTTCTGTAATTTCTCCTGGGCCGGGGCTATCTCCCTGGGGCACTTTCTTTTAACTTAACGGGCATATGAGGGAAATTGCAGACCCGTCAAGTTTCGGTGGTTTCAGCATCGTAAAAGTAAAATGCCGACGCACTGAAAAAGCGGTTATTCGCAGTTATATATCTTCGGTAATTTTACGTCTTTTTAAAGCGGAAATTATAAAATCCGTGATTATTGTTATTCTAACGGCATAAATATGATTTAGTCAAATCATAAGTAATTATATATACATATATAAAATTATTAATAAAACTACAAAGTTAACAAAGTACAAACGTATTAATTTCTCTCAATATAAAAAACTGCGATTTATCTCTATTTTCACGAAAAATAAAATAATAGAAAAGAGACACCTGATACCAGTGTACCGATGAATCGGGTGTTAATCGTATTGAATGTACGCGGCGATGCAGGTGAATCAATTTATATCTCGCAGACGTACTTTTTGATTATTGACTAAATGAAGTATTGACGTATTACGTTTGCATGCATCAGCCGACGAGCATGGGAAAATTTTATACATTATTGCGTGATGGTATGATAAATCGTAATTAGTCTGATATATAAATTTTATAATAAAGACTCGAAGCTTTATGATTAGATTTAAATAATTTAGATTCGTATTTATAGTCACGTTACATGAATAAAAAAATTAACGTTTAATAAATTAACAATTATATCAATTCCAACATTAAATATTTGCATAATTTGTGCTAATCCATCATTTCAAATTAATAGATCTATATAAGATGTTACATACATATTTGTACTCTTGTGCACGCTAATTCTTATATACATATGCATATTATATGTATTTATCTCTGATCTAATTCTTATAAAAATCCATTATCTTAATGACGGGTAATACATCACTCACCGATATAGTGCGCAGCGGTGACTGTGTTGGAAAGCTCGAGGGGCTTTCTCCTCCTTCTCCTTCTCTCAGATTTATTCACTCGTACACACAATGCTCGTGAAAACGCGTAATTATGATCGCGCATATTAAGCATTAGAATAATAATCCGCACTTGGCTGGCAAGGCACTACCCATGTTAATCACACATAATGCACACTTTACTATTTTACACTCTGACGGAATTCCATCGAAACGCGACTACGACCGTTCAAAGTTCAAAGGATTTAAATATGATACCCGCATTCTAACACCGTGCGATATAGTACTTTAATTTATAAAGTTAATTTAATGGCTAATTTATATTTAATTATTCAAAAATATAAAATAAAAATTCAGTATATATAATGTACTTATATAGTTTATCACACAATCCATGTACAATAATTGTATATCACGCCGCGCGGGAGTGATAAAAAATTTAAGTTACAACCCAATACGTTAAAATTAAAATTCTATGCAAGGCACATTCAAAATCTAAATAGCATTAGAGAAAACCATTACCGCCCGCGCCCGCACGCGTATAAATATTGCGGTAAAACGAAAAATTTAATTTTTCATGTTTCAATTTCCTTGAAACAATCCGCACGGCGTAATTGCTTTGATAAAAGTATTCGATTCAATTACAATTGATCGCGAAAGTTAATTTAATTATACGAGCTAATTGAGCTACTTAATTGTTCGTAGAAAATAATCCCGTTGGGCTTCTCTTTACACTTGATGCTATTGCATTTCGATGGGTAATGCGAGAGTCACGCAGAGAGGCACACGCCGCTACCTGCCGACTCGAGTCTCATTGTGCGAATGACAACACAGTGGGTGGCGCGCCGCGCTACGGCGCGGCGCGCGGTAACCTTGTGTACGTCACAAGGTGCTCGTTATCTAAACAAGACCGCGTGCCTTTAGAAGCGTTGTTGTTTTGAAATATTCAATGCTTAATAGAATAAAATTACATTGACTATTCCATTCCTTAAATTGTACATATTGTTTTTAAATAAATTTCTGTAAATGAACTGTTATTATATATTACTATATAATATAATTTTATGTTTCCTTCTGTAAACTCATTAGCATTACCTAAGAAAACAATTAATTTTGTTTGATTAAAAGAGAAAAAGAGAATTTCAGAATAAAAGTATTAATATTTGATAAAAATTCTAATTGACGAGAGATTTGTTTCAGTCTAATTAAGATGTACATAAAATGTATGTATGTTATAGCAAATGTTTAATTGTTATGCAAATCATAATTTCTTTCCATTTATGATCATTTAAATGTGTGCGATTAATATGTTATTAAATTATTCCATTTTAAAAGGATTGATGTAAATCTATTATTTTAAAAAATAAATTTAATTTAGAAATAAAAAATGCACATTAATTTTAATACCGTTATATAAGGGATATATATGTTATATTAACAGTTACAAAGCTGTAAAAGGAATTTCAAATAAGCACGTATCCATAATTAAATTAATATAAAATACAAAATTATAATTTAACGTTATCTTTAGAGATATAATAAAATATAAAAATGTCATAATAAAAAGTCGTATTTAAAAATTTTAATTCTTGTGAAAACTACTTTTGGACGGTAAAGCTTTTAACATAAATAAACATTCCCCTTCTTCAAATCACATCCAAAGAAATTTCACAAAATTAAAAAATGATTAATGCATAACTGAAAAATTGTTAGCAGAGCTGCGAGAAACAAAACTCAAACTGTATCGTAAGACAAACTTCATCAAGTTCTCAATTCAGTTCCTCGTAACTGCAAATATGACGAACATCAAATTAACTTTCAAGCCTTATTTATTAAACTGTATCTTGTGTCAAGATTAGCTTCAACTAAGTTTTTCAGCAAAAATGCAACTATAAATACGAGCCTTGTTCCTTCGTGCGTCTAAGAATAAATTACATTTATTCATAAATTTAAACCACGCTATACGAAAGCCAATTATATTTTCCATCGTGCGTTTGATACGTAAAAAGCAAGCAATAGGTTAGGGGAAAAATAATAAGTTAATGTAATATCTCGCATATTTATTCAACTTTCATTAATTTTGAACTAATTATTAAAGAAATTTCGTGCAGCGTGAATAAATATATCAAAACAAAGAATGCGTCTACATTATCGAATAGTTCGTAAATTTGCGAAAATTGTTCGTTCTTCAAGGTTATCATTGTCCTCTCGATTATCAGGCTTGGATTTTGCACAAGGGTTGAAATTTCAATTGCGGTAACATTTTCTATGATACTTAATCAATTTCAGAAAATAACATCTGTCGTACTTTAATATTTTTATCACACGAAATTTTATGCATGTGTGAAATAAAGCGAAACTAAATTATATCTAATTGAAACACTCAGAAATTAGAGGAAAGTCGACCCATATATTTTTATAGAATATCTAATTTCGGATTTATATAGAAATCTGTAAATCGACCTCAAAATTTAGTATGAAGCTGTAAAAAATTAGCGAGATAGATATACCATAAAAATATCGCAAAATTTATTGCAAACACGAATAGTTCTTGATTAAATATTTCTCGAAAAGATATTCTTGTAGATTTGGTAATTTCGAAGGCTGTATAACCTTTAATTCCAAGATTATAAAAAGTTTGAAGTACCAATAACTTTTATGACTTAATTATCCGTCTCGCAAAGTTTCCTTTCCTACGTAAGAAAAATGAAGTTTCTACAACTTTTTTCTATTCGGCTTAATTATAGAAATGTTCATTAAAGAAATTATCTTTATCAAACTCAATTATATTGTTATACTAATCATATAATTTATGGTAATATTATGCCTTCATTTAAATTTTTATTATTTTGATTTATATTACTTAAATTTTTTATCTATACTCATTCCTTCAGTTCAATTTCTTCCGACATTTTGTATTTTGCCTTCTATTTTCTCAGTCTCTTATCATCTTTCTTTGAACTTTTCTCTTTGTTTCCTTATCTGATCTCAGAAAAAAATTCTTTTTGAAATCAAAATAGACAAATGTGATCAATCCGCGCAAAATCCTTTCAGTGTCAATATTGTGCGGCTCTGAGTTGTCTTGAGGCTTACATTTAGTTATTCATTTCTGCTTTCATCTTCTTGCGGCTTAAAATCTTTTCTACAGACACGCAGTCGATGAGTAAATTCATTTTTATATAACAAATTCGATAAAATAGCATATACGAAATTTCATAATATCATCTGTTATATAAAAACACAAATATCATATTGTATCTTTAAATTACGATAATCTGCTTGTCGCGTATAAGTCTTTATGAGCATCGTACTTCGTAGCGCCTTTGAATATTGAATATTGAAAATAAACACAATATTTCGAATGTTTGCAATCTTTCGTATTCGGGAAAATGCACGCGGAAAAGCATTCCGAAACTGTCAGGAACCGTCGAAATGGGCGGTCTGACGAATATATTTCGAGTTCGAGGTCAGGCAGCCCCTTTCACGAGTGTCTCACATACATATTCGAGTGGCATCCTTGCGGCTTGATCCATCCAAAAGCGGCCGTCTTTGTAATGGAAATGTCTGCCGGCATTGCCTGCCGCCGCGTTTTCCCAACGCGAAATCGTACCGTCGCGGTCGTGTTCTTGAACTCCTGAGATTCCCACGAGACATAAACATTCGTCTCGAAGGGGGATGTTGTACAGGCAGAAAAATGGCCCGTCGCATTCTTACAGAATTCAAATGACGATCTACATCGCAGCTCGTAGCAATAAAAATACCTATTCTCTGCGAGACAAAATGATGATTTGTTACAATAACTCATTAGAAAACAACTGAAAATCTTAACACCGTTCTGAAAGGGAAATCTTAACTCCTGAGAAAAAAAATAATCTTATACGTCAGCCTTATGATGAAATGCTGAAATTGATATAAAAGATTCTACTTAAAAAATATAAATCAGTCCTACGGAATTCATCTAAAAAAATATTTCTTATAGGTGTTACAAACGTTTTGAAATAGTCATAATAACGAAAAGATGTCATTATAAAGTCTTAGCAAATTTCTCTCTTTCGCTTTTGTCATGTGAAAGCGAGATGATCACAGTTTTGTGCAGTTTCTCGCATGTTCGGAGAACTAGTTGAAAAAAGTTCAAATTTTCTATTCGACAAAGTTCCAAGTCTTACTGATGCTATTCCTGTAGGATAGGAATAGACGCCAGTCAACCGTAGATATCGCATGATTGCGCCGTGATGCGTAGAATGTCTGTCATACCCGTCTGGACGTTCGTCAATCCAGTTATCGTGACAAAGGTTTGCCTATCCACGTAATAATTTCGCTTTCATCTAACGGTCTACATTCAATTTCATGATTTGCGGAATATCTATTATTACGCGAAAACAGCTTTTCCATGTTCAATTGCGGAAATGCTTCCCTTTTGAAAACTCCTTTTCTACATTTAAATTACTTATATTATAATTATTCTTATTTATTTGGTAACATATTATAAAAAATGATAAAAATTATGAGACAGAGAAAAGATTTCTTAAGTGCTTGGTTTTTCTAATCCTCCAAACATTAGATAGTCCATTAACTGTTGTCAGTCACCATATGACAGTAACGTTACAGACACTTCCAACGTGTCGTGTCACCGACGGAAATCATTTTGGAGAATCAGAAATGTCACAAAAACTCGCTCTTCTCGATTATACAAACTGACTTTTGGTTCCGACTCGCCGTGGCACTTTTGCAAATGGAATCGCGTCTTTTCGACAATGAGCAAATACAGGGAACGGTCGAGATTTCCGTACGTCGAGAGCCTTAATTGCGCTCACGGCAAATATTTGCATTTCAAGGGGCTTTTGCATGTCTGCATAATGTTTGACACAGGTGCGCGCGCGTATTTGGTCCTGGCTGGATGATGGGGACCGGTATAAGTACCACAAGAGAATGCTCCTTGTGCTCCTCGTGTATACGTACCGCACACGTATACTGTGTAGTGATGAGCTACTCGAGACTCAAACAGGTGCACACACTCACTTAACAGCGCACGAGCCAACTGCGAAACTTCGGTCGAGCGTGATGCATTATCGCCACTCCTCGTGCGCTCGCGATAAAATGGATTTTTCTCAATTCTCGCTGAACAGCGAGAGCTCTTTAAATTGCTGGATAAACGAATGAGCCTGAACGCTGTTAAACAAAATTCTTTTTTAATTCATTTCGAACAGATATGGTTTTGCCATTGACAAAAATAATTACTATTTGGTTCGTGATTAGGTCGTTATGAGAGAATTATTGGCGTTCAACAACTGTTGTATTAATTCATAGGTCACTGCACGCATTATAATTTACGATTAATGAATCAATCAACCTGCAATTGCAAACAAATCAATAATCGATCAGCCACTGCAAATTGCGTAGCGGTATAATCTAATTTTAGAACTAATAATTTGGCATTTAATAGAATTTAGCATTCATGGTTCGCTAATTTACTGCCCTTAGATTACGAACGATGGATGGCACTCGCCTGTGCAAAAGTGTAAATCGATAAAAAGTAAATGTCCGTTAAACTGTCCGTGCTAGGCCGTTTTTTTTCGCGGAAGCAGATTCTTTCCGCGAAGGACGTCCCACGCGATGAAGTTGCAATTTTGCGCATTACACGAAACTAAGTGAAACTGGAGCGCAAGCGAGTCGGCTGTAAACTACGATTAAAGTTCGAAACGCGCCGTGCCGTACGGGCGTTATCAGTAGCGCCATTCGTAACAACCCTCCTTTCGTCCTACATTTCCCAATGATAAAACCTACCCATATTATTTCCTATACCGCCTCTATCTCGCGAAGACAACCCATTAC